ATTGAACATACTGATCTTGAAGTCCATGTGATCATCAGGTTTGCAGTGGACCAAAAGCCTTGCCACCTTCCGCGGTCCATGCTCTGATTGCACATTCAGCATGACCTCGGATTCCATATTTAGGAAGTTGTTTGTGTTTTTGCCGGCTTCCTTCACATCAAAGTTCGCACCATCAGTGGACAAAAGCTCAGGCTGTGCCAGTTGGCGCCAATCGGAACCGCGAGCTTTTTGCTGCCAAGCACAGTCCTGTGCAGTCAATTCCATGGTGCGTCCTGAGTTCTTTTCCAGAAGCAACAGGCCTTGAGTAGTGAATCCGGACCCGGAGTAGGAAGCCAGGAGCTGCATGTCCACCGAACCCTTGGAATAGCTCCAAGCCACATAGTTGCCTGGTTTCAAGAGGCTGTAGTGATCTCCCCAAATGCTGGAAATGTGGGGGTCACCGTCATCACCTGGTAGTGCTGGTGCTCGGCCAAGCAGTTGTAAATGTGGTGAATGCGCTGGTGGTGAAACTGGTGGTGGAAGTCCTCTTCCTGATGCAGCAGCAAATCCTCTCTGAGTCCCTGAGGGAGCGTTCGCGCTGCATCGTGAATCCGCTGCAGCTTGAGGAGCTGATTGACGACACTTGTTGGTGCCTGATGCTTTGTGAAGGAGATGGGATTTATAAAAATCAAAATGAACATATCAACCCACAAAGAGTGTCATTGTTGTTCTTCTGAATGGAAACGTTGACAAAGCAAACAAACAACAAACAAACACAAAGCAACATCACCCGGCCTCGGACAATATATGGGGCAGCCTTGCTCAGACTGTTCGTGGGATTGCCATTGCATGTCCGCCCAAGGCTTTTCACCACATTCTTCAAAGCTTCTGTCGTGTCGGGTCGCATTTACTTGGCTTACAAGCGCGAACGCAGTTGCCTCCTCCAACAAGGCGCTTGGGAAACCCATACATGTTCATTCGAAGCGGGCTGGTGGATGGAGATTCTATTGAACAAAAACAGATTGCCCAAGCGCGCAGTGCAAGGGGATTTGGGTCTTATAAGGTTTAATTATGTTTATATAATTAAATTTTGACAACTTTGGCATTCTGGCTTGATAGATATTACTTGTTTGAGCATGTTGGACTAGTTCTTCGACCAAACGATACAGTTTTCACGTCTGTCTGTGTCCTAAAGCGCTCAGCTTCCAAGTGCAGACGGCTCGAGCGGTCACTTGGAGAATCGAGGCATCGTCGCAGCCGGGAGCCGAGCAATTGCCGGGGTCCTGGCGCGATTCGAGGGAGGCGACCCTAAGGGATTGCACCATGTAAATCAACCATCCCATATCAAAACACCTGTGGTGGACAATGATGGATGAACAAAGTTGCTTCAACAATCAGCGGAATTCACATGATTTTGTTTGTTTAAAAAAACACATCTTACTTGTCGCTCAAAGACTTTCCCTGAAAAGTCCTGAGAGGACGCAAGATGCATCAACATCGCAACCATTGCCATCAAGGCCATTGCCATTGCAAAGTAATGAAAAGCTCAGTGGTCTCGATTGTTCAAAATAGATGGCTTGGGCCGCGCTGGTGCTTGGAAACTTAGATGAACGCTCAGCGTTGTGTACCCATGTCAACCCCATCACAAGCACAATGCATTTTGATATATTTTGATGCATTTAGAATTACTGAGTCAGTAATGCTAAATGCATCCTACTGAGGCATGTCTTTAGAAGAGCATCAGCTAGGGCAGGAGGTTTCCCAGGTCCCACTGAAGCTGTGGTGCGCAATGGTTCAATGAACGTGTTGAGAGTAGGCCACAGCACTCTCCCAAGCTGGCCACTAGCTTGCACGTGTGACGCGTTCTGTGCGTCGGTTCCATGTGTGCTGTGCCACTTTGACAATCTAATCTGTCAGCAGCTCTACAGGGTAAGGTCAATTCCTAGAGTTTCGAGCAAATTCACAAGTGTAAAAAAAGACTTCACCATTAAGGTGCATCGGGACCTCTCCGTATAGTACACGTGATGTGTAGAAGATTGTAGAAGCATGACCAGAAGCTTTTCTTTCCTTGTCTTGAGCCTTTGTCATCTGATTCGCCTGGCTCCTTTTGTTCAAATCTGCGCATTGAAACAACAAACACGAGACGACAGAAAACTGCTTTGTCTCTTGAGAATAACAGAACTCGGTGTCTCACCATGACACAACAGAAAACAAAATAAACACCCGTCGTGGCGCGGCAGGGCCGTTCAGCGGTGCCTGCCGCAGCCAATTCCAAGGCAATGCCTTTGCCAAGGCCACGGGATCCACCGGTGACCACTGCCACCTGGCCATGCCTTGTCGGCTGGTGAGGACACAGGACACGTTCGAACGCAATGGGAAAGGAGAAGGTTGACAGCCGAGGGGACGGCGAGGTAAACCTTGGAGGCGAACATTGTTTGATGGGTTTTACGCGGTGTTTTGTTGGATGTTGACCCGTTTTCACTGGAGTTGATCTTCCTTTATCTTCCTTTTATCCTGCATTGTTATTCTTGATGTGCTCTTTGGGGGTAGCCCAAAGCATCGACACCGAGAAGCCTTTAAACGCTAGTGAAGCAGCGTCTGTCCCATCATGGGGAACCTTAGGTGCTCTCGTGATCTTTTGGCAACGAAGTAGACCGAGCCTCCTCTGGGTGACAATCTTTCTTGGCTGGGCAGCCGACAACTTCGCATCTCAATAACCCAATGCTCCACGTTGCTTGGGGTCATAGTGTCCGAAACATGTTTACAACTCAAACAGCTCGATCGAGCTTGACACGGGGATTGAGCTGGGACGGCAATTCGCGCTCCAGGCGGATCCCTTGCACCAAACTCGCGGACGAGTCCCGTCAAAAGAACACAGGAATGGTTTGAAAAATCATGAAATCGATTCTTCTAGGAGTCCCTTGGAGGTCTTTGAACTTAGTTGAACCGTTGAACCCCTTACTTTACTAGCTATGATCTTCATCTTCTGGCTTCCCACGCCTCGTCGCAGGCACTGTCCCGGCAGTGCAGCAGGTACGGGATGCTGCGATGGAGCAAACATCGAGCCATCGTTCGATGTCGCCGCCGGTTCTCTTGAAAGAACGAATCATCGTCAAAGACGACTGACGTGTCTCATACTGACTTGATTCGGTGATCAGTTGTTCCAGATTTGTGATCATCAATTCAGTTGCTCCAGTTTGTTCCAGATGTGTGATGATTTGTACAAATCTTTGGCAGAGTGTCAAGAGTGAGAGGCGGACAAACTCGACTCAAAGGCTCCAAGGACTTGAACTTAGCAAACAAGAACCTTGCAACAAGAATCAAAAAGAGCTTATTAGGATTTATTAGGGATGCTTAGGGTCCTCTTTGGTCATCATTTTCCCCATCTTCACCGGGTGGACATCTACCACGTGCCAGGTTTTGAAATGTCCCGAGGAGTTTCCTCAAGCACTTTCCGATCAGAGCACCCATCGCACAAACATGCATGGAAAACGTCAAGCACCAATGACCATGGTGGCCGCGGCCGAGTGGTTTGCTTTTCATGCACACCCTTGGTATTTGAGATCTGTTTTATGATCTTTTGGAATGTTTTGGCATGAAATTGCATCATGGCAGCACTGCAGCACAAGAACAATTCTTCAATAAACATGTGGCCAGCTTCATGGTAGATCTTGATGCTGCTGGCTGATAGTGCTGGAGATTTTTAAGGTCACAGAAATACACGACAGCACTTTCCAACTCTTAGGGACATCAAAACGACATCAAAAAGGGGTCATCACCAGAAAAGCGGTGTGCAGTTTGTTGAGTGTTCTAGAAAACACGTCATGACAGGAAGGTTCTCACGATTTCTTCAGGCACACGACCTCTATGGCACCAACGCTGTCCCGTATACTTTCTTCCATGCGAATTGGAAGCTCAGCAATGGTTGTATTGCGCTTTCAATAGCCAGACTTTAACCGCCGAACAAACTCATCGTACAATTGATACTAATTGCGATGGCCTCCAACCTAATAGGAATGGCCTCCAACCTACTTGCGATGGCCTCCACCCTACTAGCGATGGCCTCCAACCTAATTGTGGCTTTGCCTGGCTTTCCCTTTGCCTTTGTTACCACTACTCACAGTGTGCAAGAATAAAAAGAGAGATCTCCGGTAACAAGTCAAAGCTTGAGACTTGAGACCAGCCATTCCTTGTTCCCTTCGACATCCGCAGCAAGTAATCCAAAGAGTCCCCCGCCGCCATGCCCTCCTTTTCTGCGCCGTTGACGTGGCTGTGCCCATTCAGACCATTGGCGTGTAGACGTTTCAGACCGCGAATAGGGGCATCCCGAACCTGGAAGGTTAAGATTCCAAGACCTTTGTGGGCACCACATCACCGCAGGGTTCCGTCAGCTCTGGATGGGCGGTTCAACATGCTCTGTGCAAACCAGGTGCAGGATTGTATTTGCAGAACACAAACTCGCATCGTCTCGCATAGAAGAAAAATACAGCATCCGTCCAGCAACTCAGTTTGTTAAATCGTGTGACTGCTAGACTGTGTCCATCTGTACTCTGAGAATGACACTTTTTGAAGCGGTAACGGTATAACTGTGCCGCTCGCGCGAATCCCATCGTTTTCGGCTGATTCGGCTGATTCGGCGCCCCCACACCGGCCGTCCCATGGCCCTCCGTGGACCGCCTTCGCCGGTCTCGCATGCCTTGTGGGCCGGAGCAATTGCAGCACAATCCCTGGAATGGATCTAGTATAGGTGATATGGCCAACACCCGGGGTCAAACTGCTTCATTGCTTGATAGCACACTACATGGCCCAACTCCATAAGTCCTGATGTGATACCATTCATCATGTTGAGTGGAGACAGCTCTGAACCATTGACGTTGCTTCCAGCAAGCACTTGTGGTTGCTCCAAACCCAAATAGCCACTTCTCAACTACACATCCGAGCACCCCAGAATGCCCCCCGTTTCCGGCATCCAGCTCCAGCTCCTTCCCACAAAACATCGCAAAACAACAAATCCATCGGCCTCACATCGCTTGGGCTTCACTCGCGCTCCGCTGGCTCTGCCTCCGCCCGTCCCGCAGCGGCACGGCACTTCCAGCGCTTGGTCCCGTGGCGGACGCCAGGCAGCGGCCAAGGTCCCAGGCGGCGACGACGCCCAGGTCGAAATGTCGTGCGTCCGGGAGGCGTAGGGTGGCTGTGGAGGACTGGGCCGCCGCAGCTTGTAGAATCGGGACGATGGTGAATGTTGAGGTCCAAATGTAGAATGGAGAAACTCCGATTTACACAAAGGACGTGTAAGCAAGAACACCTAGACCCGTCAAATCAGTTCCAGACCATGACCACTGAATCGGTTCAACTTGTGATCTTGACACAACCGAATGGAAAGGGCAGCTTCCGGGAACCCGCAGGACTTTCCTTGCCTCAAGGATGAGCTGGGGGTCTCCTTGTTACTGTTTGCTTTCTATTTTGACTCAGTACCTGGTCAGTAGCCCGCTCAATGCACAAGTCACTGACACTACCCTGCATCTGGCCTCTCGGCTATATACCATATATACCTGTACAACACACCTCCATCAAGAACAACAACATGGACCATGTCTGTGTTTTGACCAAAACGCCAACCAATCAATCAATCAATCAATCAACCAACCAACCAACGTGACCGACAGCATCTTCTGCTCAGCGGCCACTGCTACACTCGAGATACGTCCCAAAGAGACATCGCTGGCAGAGCTGCGCACAAGATCGATGCCTACGAGGTCGGTTTTGGAGCGACGGAGGTGAAGATTGAACCCAAAGGTCTCCACTAGTTTTTTCCTTTCTCATGCCCTGAGACCCAGGAGACGTTTGCTTTTGTTTTAAATTCAGCCATCAAGTTTCGGGAGGAATCTTGACTCTCCCCAGATTACCGACGGTCGACAATGTTGACTGCTGGCAAATTAGCCAAAAAGCTGCCCGCACCAAAGGTGCTGAGGGGCGTTACACATCGTTGCACTGTTGGAGCGCATTCATCACTTTTTGGACTATAGTTTTAGCTAGGGGTGGTACCTTCGTTTGGGAACGAAAATGCATATCCTGCATCTTGAGGTGTGTCTGGGAGATGAGTGGGAGTGGGAGAAAACATGGAAGAACACATGGCTTTTAGATATCATCTACATATATATATATATGTCTGACGATATGTCTTATTATCGTATCGTTTGAATCACTATCCATGGGAGGCAAGCAAGCGACTCCTCTCAACAGTCTATGTCTCAATATATCTATCATGATTGCATCATATTCATCAGCTGGTTGCAATGGTATAGTCTAGCGTCCAAATGCGTGCGAATAAATATTGCAAGTTTGACACCAAACATATACAATTTCATAGCTTGCAAGTTCTAGGAAAAACATAACTAAACAATTTGTAAAAGGGTCCAGAATTAGAGTGATCTTTTACCCTCTGTCTCATGCGGGTGGTTGTCGTCGCGAAGCGACCCGAATAAAACCCGCGGTCGCCAGTTCTAATCAACAGCAGGGCAGCAATGGTCAGGCCATCTGAGCCGTCTGCTCTTGCTTCAATTACGGTAACAACACCTGCCAAAGAAGCATCTCCCTGGCGGAACAATGCGCACCATCCAAGAGAACTTCTTGAACTCGTGGACAATTGAACTGCAATCCTTGGAGGAACCAGCTTGACTGCTGAAACGGTTTTGTGTGTTGGGCGTAACTCCGTCTTTGCTTCAAACAACAGCAAGGAGCACGCACAAACACGCAGCACGCGCAACTCTTTGGCCAGTTGGCCAATATCCCAAAACATTGTCCAAAAAGCGAGGGCACTACACTGTACGAACTACATCGATCCCGGACCTCTTTGCCTGCCTCTTTGATCACCCTGCTAGGTGCAAAACAATCAGATTGCCTGCCCTTCACCTTCAACCAAGCAGCTCGTAGCAGCCTCCAGGCGGAACAGGCTCAATCCTTCACCTGAAGCTAAGTTCCAGTGGAGCAGGTGAAGAAGGCTGCTGGCCAGGTCATGCACTGGAAGGTCCAAAAAGGCAGAAGGGTAGACAAACTCGGAATGAATATCAATCTCATGATTTGGGGAAAAAGGACTTCAGCCCCTGTCCGGCTCCTGTCTCAGGATAAATTTGCTTCTAACATCTCCTATCATTGAGTGGGAGAACTGCAAGTGGAGAGAAGTTTTTAGTTCCAGGGGTTCGGCAGGCAACATGTACTTGGAATTGTCCAAACCAGGTTCCTTGTCGCCTGGGATCAAATCCCAGCAACAAGTTGGGTTGTTGGTGTGTCTCAACATGGTTAGGCCCAGCTGTTTTTCTATATTTCTTCTGAGAACAAGATTCGTTGGAGCTGCGCCGTTTTTGACCAACACAACTTCCTTTGCAATTGTATTGAACACTTTGAACGAGACTTTCCTTGAAAGCAAGCAGTTGTTGTCCTTAGAAACAACACATGGGTTTGAAGCATGTGTGCACGTGTTTTTGTTTGCAAATCGGCCCCCGCACCAGAATGGCATTCACCAGGCTGACATTGCATTAAAGAATGCAGCCCGAAAAGAGTCTCACATGCCGCATTGAACACATTACCTTCTTTTTGCAAACACAATACTTTTGCGAAGATGAAGGCTTTACTAACAGGAAACATATATACTTTTATATAATACATATTTTGCATAAAGGAGGAACTCTGCAACACAAAAACGCTTTTTCTTTTAGAGGAGCAAAGTAGACTCCTCTCCTATAGGAACTCTTCCAAATTGAGGCCCCATGCCCCCTCCCCCCCGCTCTGGATATTTTCTTGCATGTCCATACTTGATCGGTGCTCTCTTCACTCGGTCGGTGCTCCTTGTGAACACACAAGGGGAACAAACCAACATCACACACACACAGTGTGGTGTCACACACACAAACACACACACACACACACTTATGGATATGCGTACTGATGTGAATGCGGTGCCACACGCCGGCCTAAGAATCCAAATCCTGAAAGGTCCAGGACAATCCTAAAGGGCCTGGGGGTCTTCAAAAGGAAGTGGGGCCAAACGCGCAAGTCGAAGTCGAAACGACAGGGTGGCGACGGCCGCTCACATCTGCAGATGCACTAGCACTTTACAAAAGAGAAGGAAGAAAGGTGGCCACCAGCTGCGTCTTACAATGCGCCCAGGTGCACCAAGCAGGTACGTTTTCACGACAGCTTGGATGGGTCTTCGTTGGCCCATGCCATCCAAGTGTCCATGGGCCCCCTGCTGCAAACCAAAGAAACAAAAGCAACAACAATCCAAAGGATCCCTGTGATTCCAAGGGTTACACACACACACGCCTCCCCGAAGGGAGGCATGTGTGACCTCCATCCTGCCTGGAAAGGAGGTAGGCACATGTGCACGCAAAAGGGACAGATGAAAATGAGAAGGACAAGACAGACAAAGGTGTGTGTGGTTGCCGATGAAAAGGAACCAAGTGAAGAGGGACAACCGATGAGCCAAACCTCATTGTAACGAACCTGGGCCACCTGAACCTCGCTGTAAGTAGAGTACGCATGCTGTATGTGTACAAACTAAGGTCCGGACGATAGTGCGCGCAAGAGAAAGAAAGGACGAGGGTGAAAAGACATGAAGACAGAAGGACATGAAAGGAAAGAAGGAAAAAATGTCTGTGGGGGCGGATGAAAGGGGAACCAAATGAAAGGGGGCAAACCGATGACAGTCCAAACCTCATTGAGAAACCTGTTGCAAAAGCCTAGTTTGCTTGTAAATACGCCACGCGCGAGGAAGGAGGGGGGAGGGGAGGAGGAAAAGAGAAGGAAGGAGAGAAGGAAGCAAAGGTGTTCCCAGCTACGGCACAAGCGTCCAAGGACACACCAAAAAGGAAGGGCTCCCAGCTATGACGAAAGCATCCAGGACGCCCAAGGAAGAGGGTGAAGAGAGGAAAAAGAGAAGGAAAGAAAGAGAGAGGGAGAGAAAGGGAGAGGAGAGAAAGGAAGGTGTTCCCAGCTACGAACAATCGTCCAGGGACACACCAAAGAAGGAAAGGGGAGATCCTGAGTAAAGCAAAGAGAGAAAGGGGGAGGGCAGGGGGAGAAGGGGGCTAAGTTCTCCACAGGTTCCAATGAACCTTAAACTTGCTTCGACCGCTGTGGTCACCTTGTGCCCTGCCGAAATGGCTGGCTGCTTTGACCGCTGCGGTCACGTAGAGGCATGAGCCAACTTGGAATTCCAAAGATGAAACAAAAATCATCGTACGTTCGGCCTAGGCCACCTTCGCCCGCTGTGGGCACTTACGTTTCCAAAGCAGGGGAAACAGCGACTAACCCCCGTTCAACGGGTCCACGGGAGGCACTCTGCGGGCTCATCCCGGACTCTCACTGACAGACACACTTATGGATATGCGTACTGATGTGAATGCGGTGCCACACGCCGGCCTAAGAATCCAAATCCTGAAAGGTCCAGGACAATCCTAAAGGGCCTGGGGGTCTTCAAAAGGAAGTGGGGCCAAACGCGCAAGTCGAAGTCGAAACGACAGGGTGGCGACGGCCGCTCACATCTGCAGATGCACTAGCACTTTACAAAAGAAAAGGAAGAAAGGTGGCCACCAGCTGCGTCTTACAATGCGCCCAGGTGCACCAAGCAGGTACGTTTTCACGACAGCTTGGATGGGTCTTCGTTGGCCCATGCCATCCAAGTGTCCATGGGCCCCCTGCTGCAAACCAAAGAAACAAAAGCAACAACAATCCAAAAGGATCCCTGTGATTCCAAGGGTTACACACACACACACACTTGAGACAAACCTGCATTATATTTTTCATCATGCAGGATGCACTTCTTACATCTTCCATCCCTTCTCACACCAGCCCTTCTGGCCAAAATGCTCCTGAGCGCCATATCAAACGGCTGCCGCTCAGACATCTGGCTGCTTGGGTCTACAGGGCTGCGCTTTGTGGCACCCGCTCGTCCAGGGTGAAGAGAATCCGAACCTCAGAACTGACCCAGTCCACTTGGTCGAAGGAATGGGCTTCATGGGTTGGCTTCAAAGAACATCACCACCTTCATCTATAAGCTCACCTGCTGTCGACCAGTTGGTGTAATTGTCGGGGGGGGCCCTCAAAGCTCTCAAGTATCAAACCCCCATGTGTGTTTCTTTGGGCTCTGAATGAATTTGGGGGAGGCCTCTAAGACAGATCCAAATGGCTGCACCGCCCACGCGCTCGAAGACCTCAGCCAAGTGCCTGGTCATGGGCTCGGAGATCGAGGCGGGAGATCGGACCTGACTTGGACACAGCACAAGGGCTACAGTACTGTGCAGCACTATGTACCATCATAGTATGATGTAGGATTGGAGATCGTCTCGGATGTGAAATGGTTTATCGACTTTGGGGTGACCCAAGCAGAATGGGCACATGAGTCCGAAGGTGGTCAATTGCTCAAGCTGACTTGTCGGCAGATTCATCTTTGAACACCAACATGTCTTTTGTACCCGTTTGAGTGACGCTGACAGGACCGAGTGCCAAACTGGCACTGTCACTACACTGTGATCGAGTTCCATGAATTGTCCCCCATCCTTGTTTCCAGCACCTGACTCCTTTCTTTCCCTTTTTCATCCTGTGTATAAACCTATCATTGGTCTTGCTTAGCAGTAGCGTAGCGGCAGCATGGAGCCTGAAATCTTCAGAGACCAAGTGGGTGTGCATCAAGTCGGAGGACCTCCCAGTTCGACCCCTGAAAGAAGGTAAATAGACCAAAAACAACATCCAAAAACCACAACCCATTGGTTGGATTGGTTGGGTCTGCCAATTATGCCCACCCAAATCATTCTATACACCTGAATGTCCTTCTTTGTTTGCTATTGGGTTGGAGGCCATTGCTTCTAGGTTGAGGCCATCGCTAGTAGGTTGGAGGCCATTGCTACTAGAAACAAAGGAAAGAAGGAAGAAAGGTCGAATATAGTTTGCTATTAGCATCACCGACCTCCTTTCGTGACCCTTTCGAGCCTGGCAGGTCGAGCTCCCAAGCTCCAGCCACCCAAGACTAAGGGTTCCTGTGGACAATAGGGTGCAGTGACAGGACAGGGACCTTGGAAAGTAAAGGTGGAAGGAAATGGACATATATTATATATAATTATATATAATACAAATATTTCAATGTATCGATGTATCGAGTGCATGGAATGTATGTAGTGTATGTAATGCAATGCAATATAATGTAATGTATGGTATGGCATGGTATGGTATGTATGTATGTATGCATGCATGCAAGCTCTTGTTTGGCGTTCTTGCAAACTGAAGGTGGAGAAAAGACACACACGAACACACATACACTCTGACATTGGTTTGCAGTTAACTCAATTCCCACGGTGAGAAGGAAGGTGAGGGAAACGTAAGGTGAATGAGTCGGCGATAACAGTATAGTTGAACAGAGCTCAGCTGCAGGAAAGTAGGTTTGGGGGTGGTAGCATGAAGAACCATGGAATCAAACAAAGCAAATTAGACAGCGTGGTCAAAAGTTCAGCAGGTACACAGGGATGATCAGTCCCTGCTTCCCCTTCTTGTCCACAGCTTAGTTGCGTGTGGTATAGGACAAGAAGGCCACACGCCCCTGCGCGAACCCTTGGAAACAGGGGTTGACACACACACGGTGCCGCTTGGCGGCGCTCGTGTGGAAGGCCTGAATAGATACCTAAAAAGCCTTAGAAACAAAAGAAAGAAACACAGAAAGAGCAGCGCTAAAAGGGCAAGAGAGAACGATAGGTGTAGAAAATAAAAAATGAATACTTAGCCCTTGACTGGGGTAGGGAAACGAGCCTCAAGAGCAACCTAAAAAGCCTGAGCCAACAAGCGACGAAAAGCGCAAGAAGGAAAGAGGGGGGCAGGGAGGGGGTGTATGTCCATGTGCGTGTACGTGTGTGTGTCTGAATACTTAGCACTCTAGGGTTCCTGACTACTTAGCAGAAACGAGTTACAGTGCAATAGTTAGGGAGCAGGACTTTAGTCTAAAACCGCCCGGGTAGAGTAGACTAGAAATGGGACAACAGAGGGAAAGGCACCGACACACAAGTGTGTCGAGTACCATTTCCCTGTGTTACCCTAAATAGGTAGGGAGTAGAACACGGTGGGGGGGGGTTTGGGAGACCGCCTCAAGTGGGGTGAATTCCGTTTTTTAGCCTGGCGGCTGTCAAATCCCGTTTTTTGGCGCGACGGCTGTCATTCTAGTTAATTCAAGGTGAAAGGAAGTCAGCTAAGAGAATCCAAGGTTTGGTGAAACCGATCAAGGCTGTTACGCGATTTCCGGCATGAAAACGGCGCCTCCTTGCGGAGGATCACACCCAGCACCCCAGTGGGACGGCTGAGCGGGTCACACTCTGACATTGGTTTGCAGTTAACTCAATTCCCACGGTGAGAAGGAAGGTGAGGGAAACGTAAGGTGAATGAGTCGGCGATGACACCTTGTGGACCCTATTAACTTGTACTACTTATAAGTAGGTTATAACATGGTTTTAACATGGTTAAGTAACTTATAAGTAGGGTTCGGGTTTGGTGAACTTATAACCTACTTGTACCTACTTAAGGCCTAGATAAGTTAGTTAATAAGTTAACATAAGTAGGTTTGCCTAATTCTTGGAAATTTATGTTTAAGTAGGACAAGTAACTTATTTCTACTTATTTCTACTTATTTTTACTTATCCTAGTTGTATTTTCCTTGTGAATTTTAATGTTTGCAGTGTCTTTCCAGAATTTTTGCGTAAATTTGCAAGGCTTTTGAAAAATCGATGTACATGTGGTTATTTGCAGGTTTATTGGCTTTTTTAATGTTTTATTTCGCAATGTGAACGAGTTTGATGATATTTTGTATTTTTCGTGTCGGCTGTTTTGTTTTTGTATTTTTCCTGAATGTGTGCTATATTTACAACTTGACCAAGCAACAGCTGAATATGTTCCAAGCTATACAAACGTAATTTCACGCCAAGGAAAAATGAAAGAAATGACAGAAGTGTTGGCTTTTTTGAACAAGGGTATAGCTGCAATGGATCCTGTGGCGCCGCTTTTGCGACAGACGCCTATGCTATCGATGGAATATCTATTTGCTATCGATGTGCTATCTATGCTATCGATGTGCTATCTATGCTATCTATGGAATATCTATGCTATCTATGGAATATCTATGCTATCGATACAATATTATATAAATTCCATACTCACGCATCGTTGTGCTATCTATGGAATATCTATGCTATCGATAGAATATCTATAGAATATCTATTGAACATCTTTAGACTATCTTTCAACTTTTCATAGTATATACGTTGATTTCCCATCAACTTTGTTCCAAATTTATCTTTCACTTCTCGCGTGAACCCAAATGTTGACTGATAGTTCTCAGATCCTCGGGGCTATAGCCGGGCTGTTCGCTTAGCGACATTCGCCACCAAGACCACATGGCGGCGGAGAACCCTGAACTACAAACTGTGCCAAGCACGTTGATTGCTGTTCAGCGGTGTGCCCGCTCGATATAAGCAAACACTGTTGAAAAAACATTGAAAAAACAAAATTTTTAAAATAATGCAAATCAATCCAAAGTGAACTGTCTTGAGCAACTTAGTGCCATCATCCCTTTCAAACAGGCTCTTTGTCAAAAATCACTTTGAAAAACAAAAAACAAGGTCTACAGCACGACCTACTTATTTCTACTTATTTCTACTTTTTTCTATTTATAAGTTACTTATATCTACTTATGTTATGATTGCATTTTTAATTTACGAACAAGTTAACATAAGTAGACCGTAACTAGGTTAAGTTACTTTAAGTAAATTTAAGTAGTACAAGTTAATAGGGTCCACAAGGCAGTATAGTTGAACATTGTTCGCAAGTGGCCTCGAAATCGATCTGTACAATCAGTGCGGTGACGAGCTCAGCTGCAGGAAAGTAGGCTTGGGGGTGGTAGCATGAAGAACCATGGAATCAAACAAAGCAAATTAGACAGCGTGGTCAAAAGTTCAGCAGGTACACAGGGATGATCAGCCCCTGCTTCCCCTTCTTGTCCACAGCTTCGTTGCGTGTGGTAGGACAAGAAGGCCACACGCCCCTGCGCGAACCCTTGGAAACAGGGGTTGACACACACACACACACTCTGACACTGGTTCTCAGTTACACTCAGTTCCCACGCTGAGAAGGAAGGTGACAGAACTGCATGGTGAAAGGTCCGAAAACTTGTAGTTGTTTCAAAAAATTGTTGTTCAAGTCTGCAGAAACGATCAGTCACTCGGGCGGCGCGGCGCAAGTCTGCTGACGGCTGCTGAGAGAAACCTGTTTGTGGGGGAGTATCATGAACCACCATGGAATCAAAAAAAGGAGGATTGGAACAGCTTGTTCAACCGTTGAAGCAGGTACAGGTGGATGATCAGTCCACCCATCCCTCGATACACCAGAGCTTCGTTGCGTCAGGTAGGTGTATCGAGCCTGACGCCCCTACCTTGTGGAGTAGTGGCGGTGGAAACAGTGGCGTTGAACCCTTTGGTACAGGGGGTGACACACACACGGTGCCGCTTCGCGGCGCTCGTGTGAAACACCTCAATAGTCACCTAAAAAGCCTTAGAAACAAAAGAAAGGAAAGACAAAAAGAGCAGCGCTAAGAGGGCAAGAAGGAAAGGTAGGTGTAGAAAAAGTGAATACTTAGCCCTTGACTGGGGTAGGGAAACGAGCCTCAAGAGCAACCTAAAAAGACTGAGAGAAAGCCCAACAAACGACGAAAAGCGCAAGAAGGAAAGCGGGGGGCAGGGAGGGGGTGTATGTTCATGTGTGTGTACATGTGTGTGTCTGAATACCTAGCACTCTAGAGTTACTGATTACTTAGCAGAAATGAATTAAATGCAATAGTTAGGGAGCGGGACTTTAGTCTTAGACCGCCCGGGTAGGATAGACTAGAACAGGGACAACAAAGGGAAAGGCACCGACACACAAGTGTGTCGAGTACCATTTCCCTGTGTTACCCTAATTAGGTCGGGATAAGAACGCGGTGGGGGGGGGGGGTTGGGAGACCTGCCTGAAGGGGGATGAATGCCGTTTTTAAGCCCGGCGGCTTGTCAAATCCCGTTTTTTGGCCCGGCGGCCGTGGAAGCAGTAAATTCAGTTAAGTCTGGTCAAGTGGTGAATTCCTGTGAGAGGTGGAAAAGCTCAGTTACACGATTTCCCGAATGAAACGGCGCCTCCTTGCGGAGGATCACACTCAGCACCCGAGTGGGACGGCTGAGCGAGACACACTCTGACACTGGTTCTCAGTTACACTCAGTTCCCACGCTGAGAAGGAAGGTGACAGAACTGCATGGTGAAAGGTCCGAAAACTTGTAGTTGTTTCAAAAAATTGTTGTTCAAGTCTGCAGAAACGATCAGTCACTCGGGCGGCGCGGCGCAAGTCTGCTGACGGCTGCTGAGAGAAACCTGTTTGTCGGGGAGTATCATGAACCACCATGGAATCAAAAAAAGGAGGATTGGAACAGCTTGTTCAACCGTTGAAGCAGGTACAGGTGGATGATCAGTCCACCCATCCCTCGATACACCAGAGCTTCGTTGCGTCAGGTAGGTGTATCGAGCCTGACGCCCCTGCCTTGTGGAGTAGTGGTGGTGGAAACAGTGGCATTGAACCCTTTGGTACAGGGGGTGACACACACACACACGCACACATCACTAAATTCAAGATCCATCCTTGCAACATACCACTTCCAACTCTGCCCCAAATATTGGTCCAAGATGGACAGGATTTTCTGGTCAATATTTTGAGGGCATCTCTTCAGCAAACCCTCCTTAGAGTTGTATAATAATATAACAATATGTAAACTATTTATATGATGGCTGCGGCTGCGCGACCCACGTTGACCCATGTGACTCGCGCATGCTTCTCACTGACCTTCTAAAAATAGAGACCATCGACTTTCTTTTCTCAAACTCCGTACTAGTCAACAATCACAGAGAGTAGGTCTGGACCATTTTTATTGAACACATGAGTCATAAATGCCGGCGCCAGGTTGTCTCACAAAGTGGGTGCACTTGGTTTTTTTTTCTACCGCGGTTGCTGTGCAAAACAAGCTGGCGCGCCATCAAAACGTGGAACGGGCACGGCCTCTCCTGCACCGGCAGCGGCCAAATCAATTGTTGGAGCCCGAGAAATCCGCCGGACACGAGGAGATCCATGGTGTCCTCGTTCGGTGCTGAAGCCCAGGAAGGACAGCTAGCAATTCTAATTTCTAAACCGGGTCATATGGCAGTGGTTCAAAACCAGGATACCTTGGTTGACCTTCCAACGATACTTGCGGACTCTGTCTGAGGCGCTTCCCAGGACCCTTCGGTTTCACCGGATATCTGGGAGTGGGGTATGTGCTCCAATAAGAACTGTACACCGTTGAATGCGTTCCAGAAGGGCACGATTCACAGCTACATTTTGTGGGAAGTCAAACTACATTTTGTGGCTCCAGGTTTTGACCCGGCCCATCCCCATGCATATAATTACATAACTTGATTTGATCCACAGCAGAACTAACCCTACTTGTATGCTGATCCTCATAGCCTCAAAGTTTTGGTTGTCGATTCAAAACCAAGATCAACAAGGAAAGCAAGGAGGTCCTCACACTGGCCATGGCTCAACCTGCTTAGCCATCAGAAAAATGCGTTGTTCAATAAGTTATATGATTTCCAGGTCGGGCTCCCAGTATATCCTATCACTCCTACCACTTAGTTAGCACTGAAGACTTAAGACTCTAAATCGTATGCACATCGCATCGGGCACATACGGACTTGATCTCAGGCAAGAGACAAAGAAACCGAATGAAACCGGATGCCCGGAAGCCTTATGTAAATCATTTTGAATCTATAGGCGTCGGTACACGAACGTTTCACCAAAGAACATGTAGCACTCCACAAGGTGCTCTTGTGCTTTAAAAAAACATCCCACAGCTCCTCATTGGGCACGGGCCATTAGACACGGGCTAGGGAGTGCATCTGTTCACTTGGGCTCCCTCAGCTGAGTGATGCTCGGAGGAAACAGAAACACGACATTGCTCTCTGTTCTGCGGCCAAAAACAAACCCATAAACAACTTCCATCCATCCATCCATCCATCCCACTGCGAAGGACATTAGGCGCTTCTGGGGCTTGACATGCCCCAACCGTCCTCTATCCAGCTCGATCTCCATTTGTTTCAACGAGTGGCTAAACACTGGACCTGCCCAAAGGAGGCCTGGCGACGGATAAAACCACTTGCCCCGGTCTGGACTGAACAACATAGGCACAAGTGGCTTGTACTGATTCAGTGGTAGTTTCTTGGGATGGCTCAAGCCTCAATGATCCTGACCCTGATCCTGTGACTCCCCTCCACTTGCTAGTACGCTTGTGCAATCCTCCGAAGAAACATGATAGCCATCGATTGTCCTGAAGTGATTTCTGTTCCGTCCTGTTCTTTTCAAAATGAGCTCTCGGCTATGCACCGCACTCTGCGATCAACAGGAACACACTTTAAATCAACTTTTGGAAAGTTCACCCCTTGGAGTCAGTATCGGAACCATTCCAACGCATTCTGTGTGGGGGTCGGACGACGGCGTGCCGCGGCATGCCCCGGGTTTTTCGAACTTGTTCTCGAAGGATCTAAGTGGTCAAAACATGTCAAAAAGTCATCAACACATCCGTATCGTCGTTTCAATGATATGTGATACGTACGCTCAATAGGCTCCAGCTCTATGTATCTATTACTGTCTATTTACAATCAATTTAGATTCAACAAGATTCAACAAGTGTTGTTATCTGCTAATATAGGCAGTACAATTACGGGTGAACTTAACAATTGCACTTGGAACAACAAAAAATCCTCGCAGGATGTTTGATTCAATTTTCATCACTCCACTCCTGTGCCCAGGACACGAAGGCGGCGCCGCGCGCGGTGCCACGCAAGGCGCCACCAAAGCACCAGGCGAGGGAGCCTGGAGCGGGTCCGGATGGGTCCGGCTGGGTGCTTTTGAGCGAAGGAGCATCATGACACATAGGCTTGTTACTAGTAGCATCTTGTTGTAATGGCCTCCAACCTACTAGTGACGGCCTCCACCTAGTAGCTTCATAGGAACTAGACTTCCAGCATTCATCAGCAGTTCCAGCAGGCATTTGGAAGCTCTTGTTCCAGCGATTTTCCTCTGCCGCGTGGCCGAACCAAATCCAAAACTTTGTGGCGCCTTCATCATATTCCATCATTATTAGACTTACACTCCGACTCACTAACCTTTGGAACTGGAAAAGGGGAAGACCACTTGCCTCTATACAAAGAGGTTTTCCACTGAAATTGGTGAGCCGGAGGGTAACACTTCACAACCTGCCCAGAATCGCCGCTTTCCCACGTGCCTCGCCGACCAAACTCCGCCGCAGACTCGGGGCACAAGGCCAGCGCGGGGCTCGGTGCGGGGCTTGCTGCCCGCGTGGGCTGCCCCTGCGGGGGGCAGCACCTTTCATGCGGCATGCAGCAGGGCAAGGCGCGAAAACGGCATCTCTTCGAGCCCTCCCAAGGTTCACATGAATGGCATCTCAGGCAGTGCCAGTCAGTGAGCTGAGGGAACAGGCTCCACACGATCCACCCAAAGAATCAATGAGGGCATTTCCGTCCAGTGTAGTCAAGAGATCGCTTGCTGCAGACCCAAGCTCAACGAAGGATCTTTTTGCTTGAACATGGGCCAGTGGCAAGTCACAAGTGATCTACGGCATATGATCTTCATAAATGGGCTCAACAAGTCCTATTGCTTAGCAGCGGGGTATCTTCCCGTCTGCCTAAAGATCTGCGCACTGTGACCTCAGATCGGCCACACCCGTGCGCAGATTACACAGTGGCATCACTCTGGATATGTTTTTATTGTCGAGGCAGAGATGGCATCCTATCAGACGAAAGAGCAAGTGGATGCTTTGGTGAGCCAGTTGATTGCGCAAGCTACTGCATTACCTACAGCAGTGAACCTCGATTCATTGGATTCACCCAGCGAGGCACCGGGCATGATTCGACCAGTGCTGCAGCCCTTTGGTGCGCCGAGTCATCCATACAAGAGGTTCGACAAAAACAAGGATGTACAAGTTTAAGAACAATTCAAGTCATATTTTACTGGGTCTGGGTGGGTCATTTACCTGCTTGACAAGGTCTTAAAGCAGCAGTGGATCTGTTTTATTCTTCACCTACAAAGGCATTGGCACCTGGAGGCTTGGCTGTTGCATGCTGTCGCCCTGGTTGTTGAGACAGCCACGCGTCCTCAATGGAAAGCCCTCCCTTTCAAAAGGACTTTGATCTCAAGGTAGGTCTTGACCACGCGCAGGTAGGTGCCTTTGTAAGCATGGTAAGTACAAAGGACCTCAGTGGTCAGTGAAGCATCCAGGACTCAAGACGTTTCACAGCGTTAACTTGTCCCGAGAAAGCAAACACACTTGCATTTCCGACGCCACTGCGAGCCAAGTGGCATCCTTTTCAGCGCCATCCATGAAGCTCACCCATCTCGGCATGCTCACGGTCCATGTGCACAATTGCGAAGCTGAATCAGCTGAATCCTCCTTAAGCTGCTTAGTCCGTCGCCAGCTCTTTGATTCTAGATCATTTGAAGATGAATCTTCTTAGGAAGGAACAAGAACGCTACGAACGGGGCTCCTGGCCTTACGAACGGAGCGATCGCACGCTAGGAACAAGACCACGAGGGACAGACCGATCACTTGGACCCAGCGACCGAGCGTTTGGCCGAGCACTCAGAAGTCGAGCGACCTTGAAGGTTTTAAGGACCTCTGACCGAAACTGCCTGCGTGTGGCCCTGGCGCCCTGGAAAAGCGAGCCCTGCTTTTAAGTAACATGCTCTGCTTAAAGGTTGGAAGTTGCAGAAACTACCAACAAAGTTGCGGTCTTTCAGTTTCTGACCGCTCCAACCTTTTTCGCCATCCAGTCGCTGGATCTTCGACCGCTCTCATGTCCAGCCTTTCCCCCAAATTAGACCATCGACCAAAACTTCAGAGCCCAAGCGAGGCCTTTGCCTTGACAGCGAGGCCTTTGAATGTGCCGTGCTGTCGGAACCCGACACTCCGTCTCTAAGTGGGTGTGGCTGTCGGAGTGTCTGGCGTGGGTGAAAGTCTGGGTTCAAACTAAGTATCAAGGTGTTGAAGATTGTTCAAGCCCTGAGGCTGAGGGGTGCAGCTCCGCGGCGCGAAATCTTTGGGTTCCATAGTCCTGTCCAAACACGACTTTTCCGACGAGTATCCTTTCTTTCTACGACTTGGCAGTATTCAAGTGCGGAGATGGATTCCTCTGCAGGGGCGTCTAGTATGGGACTTGGGACTCTGGAAGCTGCTGTCAAAACGGATATTCGCAGCTGTGCCTCTTCGGCTAGAATGCAGCCGGCTGCGACGCATATTTCTATGTGCAGTGATGGAGTGGCAAATTATGAAATTGTTCTTACCTCTCAGCTAAGTCATGCAAGACAAACCCATTATGTATATTCAAGCATCAGGCTAGCAGCCGCTTTCCGCGTGCAAAATCTACACCGAAAGACTATCGTTCCTTTCGCATTGATACTTATGGCAGGTGCAATAAGCACTTGTTGCCAAGGCCCACCGGCAAGCCGCCTAGTTGCTTTGCGGCATCGATGTGCGTATTGCAAAGACTGACGGTGTTTTGATTTGCCTTGGTCTTACACTTGTCTTACTATAAGCTTGCTGACCTCAAGGTGAAACTGACTCTTGTTGCAAGGCTAACAACTTCTTGTTGCACCTTGAAGTCAGCTTCTCAGCTTCAGTTCTTTCCAGGGCCATGCACTGGGAAGCGTCCAATGTGTGCTCGGCGTGGGTCTCCTGGCAAGCAATCACACACCGGAAGTGGCCTCCTCTGCGCACTTCGACGGTTCTCTATGAATGAACCCCCTCAATCCCCCTCACTTGTTGTGGCCATGTGAAGAACCTGAATTTCCTATATAACAACATATACGATGGAAATGGCAATCAAACCCTGTGAAAAGGATGCAGCTTCCAAAGGAATCCTTGCACCACTGCTAGGTCTGCTAGGTAAAATGGTCCATGGGAAATGCTGATGACCCAAACCAGGTTGGCGAGAAACCATGAGAAACCCATGTAGCACCTGACCTGTTTCAACAAACAACATCATACAATGTTCATCTCTGCAACGTCCTTTTTCATCATGGTTTACGATATCCAACCATAACCATTCCTCTTAGCTCTTTACTTCTAAGCTCAAGGGAATAGCTTGCGCATGCTTGCGCCGCTGTTCCTGTCTTGGTGTATTGTTTTCTACATGTGTCTTTGTTTTTAACGGGAGGAACACATAGGAACACAGTCCCGCTGGCCTTGCCGCCTTCCGGTCGTTGGTTGGGGAGCAGGTTGGTTCGACTCTGAAGCACTGAACAAGGTACCATTCATACTCAGATGGTTCATCCTTTCCCGAATAAGCTTGGTATCTAATCTCCAGTTCGATTCTAGAGCCTTCCTGAAAATCAAGCTGGCTATTGCAGAAGGTATTGGACACCACCTTCTTCTTTGTTCTTTCAATTCGTCTTGCTGTGTTTTTATTGGTGTAGCATCCAGGACCTAAGATACCTAAGGATACCTATTATATATCATATAAGGATCATATGTCACCCACAGATCCGATAAAGTCCAAGATCGTCCAAGTCAAGAAGTCTTTAGCAACCAAGCCGCCTGCGTGGCCGACAAACACAGCTGAGCACTTAGTCACATTTGCATGTCTGAGAAGCTGTTCTGGATGCAACTTCAACAGCAGTGGGCGAAGTGCAGTTGAATAAAGCAACGGCTGCGATCGAAGTTTCTTGCTGCTGAATCGTGAGGCAAAGCATGCAACACATCATCTGAAGTCAAACACTCAAAAGAGGATGCCAAGATCTTTCCAGATTTCGATGCAAAAACATCCTCACCAAGCTCAGTGGGGTTGGGGTCTGGTGGGTGCTGTTTATTCTTGTCACCACCACACCACATGTGGGTGAGCACAGCTCTGTCTTAAACGCTTCAAATCGATGTTGCATTCTGTGATTGGGATATCCTATCACTAAATTCGAACGAGGTCGACCTGGATTCGCCATACCTGGAACTCCAATTCGTGCAGACTGGATGTCCGGCACGGCCAACACGAGTGGCGGTGGCCGAAGCAGTGCGCCCAGTGCCGCGCCGCGTGACCGGGAGGTCCGGTCACCGGACGGACACGGGTGGCCGGGCTGATCGACAGTATCCGGGTTCCAGCGGAAGTGTGAGGGCAAATGAGACAAAGCTTTAGGATGAGTCGAGTGCGCAGCGGTCGCCGCAGTCTGAGAGCATGTTCCGCATAGTCACCAAGCCTCTCGACCAAGTGAACGATGGACTGAGCCGTCACCTCCCAACGACCACTCTCAATGAAAACAGTCTGGGCTGCTCTCAAGTCTTCCTGCCTCAAACACAACAGTATTTCCACATGGACCGCAGGCAGCCGCATGGCCTTTTCCAAACAGCAACCACAGCATCTCAGGGCGTTCGATATTTTGTGAGTGTTCTAATTCCAAGTGAAATGCTTCGGGTCCGACGTCGGGTTAGGCACCGTCTTAGAGTCATTCAAGCGCCAAGTGAGCTATGGAGAAAACACGAACCTGTATGCTCCGTCCGAGGAATGCGGAGGTCGCAGGTTGTTTATGGGCTTTGATTAATGGGATCGGGTCGGTAGGAACCTTGTTTAGACGGGAGAAGTTGATGTCATAAGCGAGCGATACAGGCGAACTGGGACCAGAACTGGAACCAGAACCAGGTCTGCGAACAGGCATGTGTTCTTTCTTGGATGAGGTGCATGAGGACACAAGCAGGCCAGCACAGGTTTGGGCCAAAGCTTTACCAGGGATCTGGGCATCTCTGGGCCAAAGGTTAAAAAATCAACTTAACCCCAGTGCTTTTGATCCGAAAGTCCGCTATTTCTGGCAGACCTTCTATTTATCGACAAGGACCCATGATCAAAATCCAGCTCTGCATCCTGTTGCAGTCCAGAAAATGATCCTTTCTAGGAACTCACTATTAGAGCTCCACAAACTCAGTGATTGGTTGATTTTGTTTGGGGGAAGGCCGTCCTCACCCGGCAAAAATTTGACCAACAGCTACATTCCATGCACAGAATGATCAGGCTGCGACACTTTTTGTGCTGTTTTTTCACCCAGTTTCCAGCCATTTCCTTGCTATTGTGCGAGAAATCAATGATTTCAAGTGGAGTTATTGCTGCTTCAGGGGCTTCCCACTTGCGTTTTGTCCTGACCAATGGAAAAAAGGCCGGACTCGAAGGCTCATAGGCTTTCTAGTCTTATCGCATGACATTTCTGAGGCCCTCCTCTATCAGGCCAGGACTCTCAACACAGGGTGAGAGTCCACACTTGACCCTCTGATCCGAAAAGCAAGCGACCGGTTGCTGTGGCAGTTCGGCTCATAGAGACTTATACGACCGACCTTCTGATTTCTCACCGAAAGAGTGGCGCCCTGGCGCGCAGTTCGTTCGCACGAGTGGATAGGTGCCAGGCCTGGTCTGTGTCGACAGGACCAGTTGGTCTCCATGTTCCAAGGGGCTCTGAACCTTGGATCAAGTGGAATTGACAAATGATGACAAATGGCTTGGGTAAATCGCATTGCCTGTAACAGTGGATGATGATTGGTTAGGTTGCAGGCTTTTCTCACAAATAGAGATATATTTTATCGACTGTTGAAGACAATATAACACAAGAACTGGTTGTTTTCTTTCAGGACTATCTATCTGTTGGACAAGTCCTTCGTTGAGTCAGCTTACGCAGAGGCACGTGCATCAGGGTCTCCCATGGGCTCAATATGTCCAAGATCTCTAGGTCCTAAAACAACAAATATATATATATATTATAATATATATCTCAAAATTAATATCGTGGAAACAGCCTAAACAGCCAAACTGTTTTAAGCTCTTGCAACACCCGAAGTGAAAGGTATTTGGATGTATATTGTAATATATATATAGTTTGTATTCTGTAATCTTATCAAACTGTTGGTGTGTGGCCCAACAAACCAGCCACTCAACCAGTCTGAAGATCCTTCAGGTATCCACAAACATGGCACCCTCCCTCAAAAGATCTCAAAAGCTTGTTGATGTATGGAAAGATCCTTCTAGATTCTAGATAAACTTTTGCGAATGTCTTGCGTGCCCCATGCCTAAGTTTCGTGGGGGGATCAACCCTAGAATGTGCTCTGGCCCTTACCAAACATCAGTCTGGGTATGGTTGAACACTCCCGATGTTTCTGTCTGAGGTTGGCGTGGACTGCATTGAGATTGGCGACGGCTACGGCAAGTTCCTTGTTATTGACGTCGTTCCCTGGCAACATGTGGGAAGGAGTGTTCCAATTGTGTTTTCACATTTGCCAAGGCGTTTGAGCATCTTTCACGAAAACCTGTCGGGCGCTGAGCGAGTTTTGATTTCCCCAAACACAACTAGATATATCATATCACGGAGTCCTTTGTTTTTCCCCAAATAGTGCTCCGCACTAAGGGGTTCTTACGGTAAGAGTTAAGCGGGTTTAGATCAGGGTTCGCGCGTGTGGTCCCGGCATGTTGCGTGGGCCGGCTCGCACAAAAGTTACTTTTTGAATTCCTCATGTCCATTTCGACTGCGCAGGCTCGCATAAAGTGGGGGTCGCGGTTTTCGCGCTTCCGGGACAAAGCTCTCGTGCAGGTGCCGTGCTCGTTTTCGGACCTGAAGTGAATTTCGCGTGGCAGGCGCAAGGAATTCGACACATTGGAGCCTCGAAAAGGTCATTTTACGTGGCAGGTGCAAGGAATCGGAGACTCTGCAAATTTCGTGGCAGGCACAGTGTTTTGTGGACGTTGCAAAAACGTTGGCAGGCGTGTGTCATTCGCAGGACTGCGTTTCACGTGGCAGGCGCAGGGAATCCGCACCATGGATGCGATATTTTGAGGTGAAACGGCTGAATTCGTGAGAGGGGTCGCATTTTTGGACTTTGACCTTGAGGATGATTTTGCGTGGCCAGTGCAGCATTTCGTATGACCTGCAGGCATGATTTCGTGGCAGGCGCAGCATTTCTGAAGCACATTTCAATATTTGCGAAAGCCTCGTGCAATTTGCTCAGAGTTCGTGGCAGGCGCAGCACTTTGTGAATCTCGATGTGCAGATTTCGTGGCAGGCGCAGCACTTTGTGAATCTCGATGTGCAGATTTCACTCTCCTCCTTACAAACTCACGCCTGGTCCCTCTGGTCTTTCACATGCTTCCGCATCTGCTGCTCTCATCTGTGCACTCTCACATTTGTGCTCTTGTATGTCTCCTCTCATATTTGTGCTTTCATCTGTGTGCTCCTTCTTTCCTTCCACGTGATGCCATGTTCCATCTCTTCCTCTTTACACTATTTGGGGTCCCTTGCCGGTGTAATTTAAAGGTTGACTTCGATCGAAATCAATGAGCAACTTTTTTGCCGACTCCAGGTTTGCAACATGAACTTCTCGGTGCAAAGTTCTTAAAGCGATCTTCATACAACCATTTTAATCAATTCACTCTGGTGTACATTTGGGGTTTCTGGATGTTTCTGACGAATCTTCCAGATCCTTTTTGTTTGAGTTATCACCGAGCATCACAGGCGTCGTCGGGCGGGAGATCTTCCCAAACACCACTCCTGGGAGCGAAGCAGCGAGCGGGGCCCAAGCGCCCGAGACCCTCCATGGGGAGGGCCTCCATGAAACCCACGACATGAGCCTAAAATCTGTTCGGCTACCCTTTCTTCCTGTTCTTTTATCTTTGTTTCTATTAGCGATGGCCTCCACCCTAGTAGCGATGGCCTCCAAGGGTGTTACACGAGGAAAATCTCACCCGTAGACCGTCTGACCACAACAACAACAACCACGACGACGACGACGATGACGACAACGACGTCGATGACGACAACGACGTCGATGACGACAACGACGACGACCACGACAACGACAACGACAACAACAACAACGACAACGACAACAACAACAACAACGGTTTCAGCAGTCGTGGAGTTCATCAGGTGGGGTTGCTTTCTTGCAGGGAGTGTTAATGGTTTGACATGGTTGGACCATCTTAGGCCAAATGACACCTATCTGCGGCCTGCTGATGCCTCTTTTCTACCTTCGACGTGTTTCGTGCGTTTCGCTCCTTTCAACCGAGTCCAAGTCTCCGCACAGCGCAGCCAGGCATCACCAAGGGACATGCTGTCCGGACGAATGCTCCGGTCAAAGCTCGAAGGACGGTGGGATGGTCGATGGATTCAAAGCAGAAGGCGGAAGAGGGGGTCACGAAAGGCTTTGGACGTGCAAAGAAAGCCTTGAGTTTGAAGCTCAGATCTTGTGAAATATCTCCTCCAAATGCTTGGACCAGTTTGCCGTCGTCATGCCACTTCTTTGGTCCAACTTGTTCAACCATCTAGGCCGGCAAGGGAGCTTAAAGGAATATTGGCCTCCTTCACAGCTGACTGCTTGGCGGCTGACGAACGGCGGCAACCGCAGCCGAACGTCGTGGACCCGATCCAAAGCGGATGGACGACGTTCAGCCACGGGATGAGCATCGTGGCTTTGGGGGGAGGGATACCGTTTTGCTGCCACCAAAGGAATCAGCATGGAGTTTTTAAGGTCTTTGATTGTCCTAATCTTCAAGTTTAGACATTCATGGAGTGTTTTAATGGGAAGTCGGTGTCTGACACGTCTTAACCGAGCGGGTAGGCTTCTTCAAGAGGTTTGGGATAGTGACCCGTGCCTGAAGTGGTTTGTTGTTAGGCGAGCTTCGATTCATTTTAACCTTGCTATGTTTGGGACTCAGCATGGCCATTGCCATGGTGGCTGCACAAATCCTTGGCCAATCTTTGGCAAAGCTGCTGTGATATGTGCAAGGATGTCGCTCTAACAACTGTGATGGACAGAATCTGCTTTTTACCAGCTGGGACTAAGAGTTGCTACTGTATAGCTGGGAGAAGAAGGTCCTAATTGTGACATGTATATTTATTCCTTTTCGTACAAGACAAGACCACCAAGATCTTGGCTGGCTCTACTCGTCTCGCTGGCAAAGTTCTTCGTCTGTCAGGCCGGAAGTCAAGGGTTTCTGGAAGCTTGATCGGAAGGGCACGACGACCTTAGGGTAATGTTGTGTGCTGTAATCATCTGCCGAGATGACCCGGATTTCCCATCCCGACTAAAGAGTCTTTAAGTTCTTCACCATTTTCAGCCTTTCTTATCTGCTGCCAAGCACTTCTTCTATATGTCTATATGTCAAACCTTCAGCATTGACCTAGCTCCATGTCGCCTTCCCTGAGCCGAACTGGGTCGTTCACTGTTGAACCAGTGACACTTTCAAATCCGAAAAAGACCTGGTCCAGCTGGGCCCTACAGGCCAAGCACCAACCTTTGCATCGTTGGACCGGATCTGGGCGTGGGTACAGGGCTGTGTACCCCTTGGCGTCATGGAACAAAACACACGGCAAATGGGGATGGTTTTGGATCCAGGATCTTCAATCAAAAACAATGTGGTCTGTCTCCTGCTTCAGCAAGATTGAGTTTGTCAGACACTCCAAGTGGGATCCAACCAGGTGCGCTTTCGCACAGCGGATGTCTCGAAAGGCTTGGCATAGCGGATTTTGCCACACAAGGAGCATCCAGCTGTGCAAACAAGGACAACCCCCTGTAAGCTGCTTCAAAACGTGGGGTGGCAAATACTGTCAATCTTGCTTGCGTGTTTCTTGTATCACCGAGAGCCTGGAAGAACGAACATCGATGAACCTGGAGCAAACAGGAATGCTCGAATGAAGATCTAAGCAAAAATTAGATTTGCGCTTACTTAGGCCAGTCCGACGACTCAAGTTCATCAGCGGCTTTCCTGTGAACGGATAGGCTCGCAGTACCTTGATGTACCTAGATGTTGATGGTCGGCTGTGCTATTGGCGCCATGAATCTGTCAGCCGAAGAAGTTTCCAGCTTGGCGATGCAGCCAGTCAGGCGTCAATATGGCGTCAATAGCAATAAATTGCAGCCATTCAACAGGATTTCACCTGGTGGCGGACGTTTTCAAGGATCCATTTCATAGGACTAACGGTGAACCCCTGCAAAAGACTCTTTATGTCTGTCAACTCGTTGTCAATACTTCCCCTCGAAACTAAGTTGGAATTCGATATTAATAGTTCTCTAATAAATGTTGAAACACGGCCCTCGTTCGTCGCTGTGCAGGGATTTAGCAGGAGTCCTCATAAAGCCGTTTTTCCAACAACCTTTCTTCCTTCTATTTTTTCTTTGTTTCTAGCGATGGCCTCCAACCTACTAGCGATGGCCTCCTAGACTTCGTAGCTGTACAGAGATTCCCCGGGATGGACATTCCTGCAAACTCGACAACTCTACACACCATTCCTGGCACGAGGAAATGGTGTGGGTCCTATGTTGCACAGGGGTCCAAGGTCCTGTGTATGTATCAACAATAAACACACTTTGTTGTTCAAGGGTATAGATCGTACATGAATATGAATATTCAGATACAATGGTACTCACCGCCCAACATGTCTCCTTACTGCAACCTGCCCAGAAACCCGACACAACACATCTTAACCAGCTTCTTCAAAGCGACCTCAAACAGGAGTGACTAAGTCACTCACTTCACATCCGGCCCGACAGGCCCAAGTGACCTCAAACTGGAATGGCCTCCACCCTAGAAGCGATGGCCTCCATTGATTCTCACAGCCAATGATTCTCTTTCTCCACACAAGGGGTGAGTGCCATTGTATGTTCTCAGTTCTCTTAACAAGGCTTTTGGTCACTGTAGAATATACAGAGGCTTTTTTGGAACCCTTTCAACACATGTTCTATCTGTGAATCCCCTCTTCTGTCATATCTGAGGCTCAACGTCCGTTCCCACATCCGCATCGAAGTCCGCTACTTCCCTTCACCTCGCTCTCCTCAGAAGTCTCGCTCTCGGCCACCAGGGGCCTCAGCTGACTTGCGAGGTGAGAATCTCACATTGGACTGACCACTCCTGACGGACTCCTTCTCGAACCTTCCAGGTGTTGGGGCTGTCCATGTTCCTTTGATCGAACCGGGGCCGAACCTGTCCAAATGATCCACCCACATGTCCACAAGCTCTACAGGTCAGTAGATAATCAGGTCAAGTTCTGAAAAAGTGGACAAATCAAAGGAATCATTGGTTCGTAAAGGAACACACAACACTGCTTTCGGTTCAGTCTTGCAGTCGTACTGTATATGTGAGTCTATCGAATTCGATGGATGAACCATCTTCAGTCTTGATGATGCGCATGCCCTGGGATTGGAGCTCCCAACAATGTTCTGGTGTTGTTTCAGGGTGGTCACTTGGGTGATGCAAAGAAGAAACCACAACCCAGTTGCAACTTGTCACTCAACTCCTAGATGTGGGTGGACGAAATCCGGAAAATATCAATAATTTTCACAGTACTTTTGTATAACAAGATATATATATATATACTTTATATTTGTGAATCTCTACAATCTCTGCCATATTCCCCTTCCTGGGCTAACAAAACTCAGAAAAGCACCCTTTGCCTCCCTCTGCCCCACTCAATCGCCACCTTCCTATGCGAAGTTTGGCAAGCCAAGCCTGGTGCCGATCATGAAAGGAGCTGAAACAAATCCCAACAGCTCGTAAATGATCTTTTGGTTGCATCGATTTTTCCTACAGCTCATCTTGTTCTTTTGGTTGCATCGACGCACGGAGAACCACACGGACCAACGACTTTGGGAGTGTTCTGTTTCCACAGGCTCGATTGGTCTAGGTTTCTTTACTTCTCTCAAACAAGCATCAGGAATTTTCAGAGGGAGAAGGACCCTGGAAGTTGGCCCTGGAAGTTGGCCCTGCTCCGTTATTGTGAGGTCACCACAGCCCTGCTCCGTTCTGCTCCTTTGGATCGTGGCAACTTGGCAACCTACAAATGGTCAAGTTTTTCCCGGAAGGTTTTCGTATTTCAACTTACTGAGGAGGCCCAAATTTGGACCTCTTAAACGCTGGAGGTTGGTGGTTGGTGGTCAGGCCGATGTCCCGACCATGCGGTTGGCGTGCTGCTACAATGACAAACATTGACAAACCTGATATCTCTAACCTGCTCTAGTCACTAGTCAGAAGTGCCCTGTAGTCTGAGATGACCGTCAATATCTCCACACAAGATTTTGAACATACGCTTCAAACGCTCACCGACAAAAACAGCCGACCTTTCTTGGGGCGAGGCCGAACTGTTCAGTATGTCGCATCTGATGTTTGCGAAAGATGCAGGGAATCCAAGCGATTTTGCATAACTCCTTTCATCTGAAGAAATAATCATCACCGTGTCCGATAGAAAAAAAAGGATGAAAAAGAAGAACCGCCAGGAAATCAATGGACAACAACATCTGTCCTTGGTCTTCAGTGATTTATTGGTCACCCAAATGCATGAGACTAAAGCATCTCTCCAACTGCCCATGGCTGGGGTGACTCCCCTGGCCTTCTTGACAACATCAAACTGCAAAGCTGGCAAAGCTCCCTCCTTGCAACAATCACACACACGGTCTATCGAACAACAATATGATGAGCAAGCACTAGCAAGAGAGATCTTCAACCATTGATCACAGGTAGGTTTTTGCAATTCCAGCTGTCTCCACAGGATCTGCCTGAGGTGCACAAGCCCATCGGCCGCAAGCGGAACCACCATGGCAGGACGGTCACACGAGGTCTCTCCCTGAATTTGAGGAAGGTGAACCTCTTCAAAAATGATAGCAACTGCCGAACCAAGCAGAGCTTGAACCAAGCAACAAGTTTGTTGAAGTCACGCGACTGGCGGGAAACAGTTCTTATGTTCACGGCCCGGGTGCTGCCAGCTGCGCCCACAGGCTATGGCGGTTATGATTACACAGGATTATTTCAAAATACATCGAAACGTCGTCCTGCAGCTCTACATTGGCAACCTGCAAGAAGTGGGAGCTTCATTCATCGGTTTCGGGAGATTTCTGTAGTGATACAAACTCATTCATGAACCCATATATTATAGCTTACACTTACACATTGGCACCCATAGCTTTCGGCTCCGGTCCAGGACAATCTACGAAAGAGCATCTTGGTTCCAAATCCTATAGGAACTCATGGTGGTGAATTACGACTTTGTTTTCCTCTTGGGTCACTTCCATATACTTCCATAACAGATCGGTCAAACTGCCTTGAATCCACAAAGGGACATCTGAACACAACTTCTTCAATGACCTCCACTTGCAACACCGTTCTCAGGATGTAACCTGAACAGCCAGGTCACAAGGGACGCACTGCCGGGAGACGATTACAGCAATCCATTCCGCAAAGGTCGACCCTTTGGCATTCTGATGCCCCTCTCTCTCTACGTATCATTAGCCTCTTTTCTTTGGATCTAGAGCAACTCGACGTGCAGAATGACTTGGATGTACTAAACCAGTCTCCCAGTCTCCCAATGACGCAGGCCATGTTCGATGCCTTCAGGGCCTCCAGCACCTCCTTTGGAGGTGCACGTCTCACAGCCAAGCGATTACGGCGCTTGAAACCTGTCCTTCGCTGAGAAGTCAACTCAAAGTTGGCAATTAACCTAGGGTTCCTTGAGTTTAAACTATGTCGCCAAGGTCCAACAATTTCCTAAGCTGTATAACTATAGATATTATTATGATTAGAGATGTTAAGTGTCATTCTTCCCTGCGCGTGAGGGTTGTACCTAAGCTGTTGTCTAGATGTGGGAGTGATAATTAGACATTCACTGTTGGAACAAGTCGTTCTCCCTACTTCTTGTTAGACAAACACATACAGAACATTTAATGTCTTGGAATCCAACATGGTGCTAACATGTGCTAACAATTCAAAACAGCTTGCAGCTTACATTGCCCTTGACTGTGAACCTCAGCCAGCTTGCTCAGCCCGTCTTGCAGCTGTTGTGGACGAAAACCCTGTCTACATTCTACATATTATGTTTCTCCTGTCAAGTGTCTCAAAGGTCTGGGACTCCCACAACATGTGCGTCACCAGTTCTCCTGGCACTGGGAGGATTCCCTTTTCACGGCCATATGAATTCTCTCTCTCTTTCACATCTGAGTACTCTGCTATAGTGGCAAGCTAGTTTCGTGGGCCACACAAATGGGACACATCCACACAACTAGCTAGTCACAGAACATGCTCGAAACTCGAAACTCAAGTGGGAGAATAAAAAGTACTCTGTCATGCTGGATGCTAAACCGAATGGTACCCTGCACATCTCCGCAGCAAAGGGATGAAGCGTTCTCGGGCCCGAGGGCCATGCGACATGAAAATGGAGCGAAGCTGTACCTCTACAAAGAAGCACACTCCGTGTGCATTTGGTGACGATATAATAGCCGCCGAGACACACCCCAACTCCGAAAAAAGACCTAAAACTCAAAAAGATATGGAGTGTGAATGTCCCATTGTGGGGGCTTCGTTGTGTGTGCAAATTCACGAAGTCTCACAATGAGCAAATCACTGGAGACATCTTCGGGCCACCACAACAAGACTTCTTCGGACTCACCAGTACGCTGCCGCAACTGTGCAGCGAGAAGAAGAACGCTTCAGCCGATGTCCGCTGCTGGAGCTCGGCGATTCCTCCAGCGAGATCGGCAAGGACAAAAAGTACGTCCCACGTCCAACACCAGTGAAATGGCCTGATTCAAAGGCACCGATAGGATCCTAATAAAGCAGGTTACTGTATATGATAATATCTGTATGTGTGTTCATGTATGGGGGGTTGTTTGTGACCTTTCAGCATGTGTGCTCCACGGCTGAGCTTCTAGTCCCTTCATCTCCCGAAACTCGGCTGTACAGCTCCAGCCTCAAGCCGTCCCTCTCATGGCCTCAGCACTGGAGCTCAAACAAAGAAAATAAGCTACAGACTCCTGTTGCGGGGCAATACTCCCAATTCAGCAAAAAGACACGCACAGCTGCATTCTGAATCGAGTCTAGCAATTAGATCTCTTCACTCTCGACGCACGACGAGAAGGCTGCGCCCGGCTGCGCCTGTTGGACCCACTTGTTGGCCTTAAACTTCACCTGCCTCACGGAGTCAATTCTATGAGGTTTCATCCATTCTAGGGTGGAGGCCACCGCTACTAGGATTACTAGGGTGGAGGCCACCGCTACCAGGGTGGAGGCCATCGCTACTAGGGAGGTCATCGCTTCTAGGTCGAGGCCACTACTACTAGTAGCAAGGACGCTATGAGGGTGGAGGCCATCGCTTGTAGGTTGGAGGTCATCGGATCTAGGTTGGAGATGTTGGAGGCCATCGCTACTAGGGTGGAGGCCATCGCTTCTAGGGTGGAGGCCATCGCTTCTAGG